CAGAGGTGCATTGAAGAAGGAGTTAAAGTAGACAGCCTCTAGCTCTTTGGACCGTGATTGGATACGTTTTACTGAGAATCTTCTCTTAAAAGTTCAGGGTAGATTTAGGACTGGAAAGGACCTTCAAGGCTGTCTAATTCAACCCTTTCATTTGACAAATGGGAAACTGAAGCCTAGAAAAGATGACTTGCCCAAGGTTCAGAATTTGAACCTAGTTCTTCTGATTTCCTCTGATGCCAAATGCAGTACTCTTTCCATTATACTGTGCTGGTTACTAATAATCACCCACTAATTTGTATATTTTTTAAATTTTAAATCAAGAATATCAAGCTTGGATTTGCTTAAAGCCAGTCAAAATTGGATTTCAATGAAGCACAGAACTTGTAACACATAATAAAGTGATAATCTTTATTTGTTTCTATAGGAGCTAATACCAAAAGCTGTTTTCTTTTCTTCTCCTGTTAGATAAGATGAGACACGTTCTAGAGCTTTGGCCTTGGCATCACAACCCTGGCAATCATAATGCCAGCAGGGATGTTGACTTTTTAATACTAGGACAGATACCATGCGTTCTAGGATTTCCCACCTTCTTCTGTCCTTATTCTCTTTGCCTCTCAGTAAATCTTCCCATGCCCCCTTTTCAGCATGAAATAAAATAGATTTTAGTGCTTGCCAGGTATATGCACATAAGAAATAAAATAGATTAATTTATTTTAATAGGACAATATAGTTTGTTAGTTGTTGTTTTTTTTTTCAATCAAATCTTGTCCACAGCATCCTGACAAGCTGCTTTTATCCTCCAGCTGTACATGTACCCCAGACTGGGAACCCCTAGCATATTCATTTCACATAAAACAATTTGTGCTACATTCTTCCAGAATTCCAACCCAGAGTTGGGAATTGAAAGCTTTGTATTTTAGTACTGAATTTCTGAGTCATCTTCTCCCTTACATACATTTTTGTTTGTTTGTTTAATTTTAAAAATGGACAATATGTGGGAAAGACACAGTCAAACATTAGTCTCATCTTAAAATTACAAAACTATTAACTTGATTTCCCAAATCCAACACTAGCATAATTTCTACTCAGCCTGGCTTTGGTGGAATTTATATTTTCTAATTCCATTTTCCCTATTGGTCTACATTTTGTTATTTTAAAAAAACTCATTTTCCCATCTGCTGAGCTATGGCTAGTAGCCAATCTTGATGTGTATCGTTGAAACAGCGCGGATATGTAGTAATGAGCTGCTTTCCTAACAAAGGCCTTGATTACATCTCTGCTCCTGGCTTGAGCGAGGTGCTTCTGGTCGCTCTGACGTTTGATTTCAGGACAAGAACACTTGGTTCCTTCTTGGTCTGATGACCTCTCACTCCACATCACTTGACAGCAAGGATGAAAATGCTACCTATCACATCCCTTATCACAATTTTTTGATACAAAAAGATATCTGGCCTGAGGAAGTCATACTAATCATGTCAGTAAAAAGAACTTTTAAAAATAATAAAATTAATCGGGCATCAAAATAAGAATAACAGCTTATGATGAGGAAGGGTGGGAATCATCCTTAGTAAAGTTCAGGGCATTTGGGGCAGGTCAAAGACAGCAAAGAGGTAATGGAAAGTGTATGGGGCTGGGAGTCAGGATACTTCTGTTCTAGTCCCCAACATGCCACAAACTAGATTGGTGACCTTGGGCAGGTCCTTCCCTAATCCTCAGTTTCTTCATTCGTAAAACAGGAGGACTTAGACCACTAAAAGATTTCTAAGCTCCCATCCAGCTGAAAAATTCTGTGGTTATCAACAGAGCTAGGAAAAATTAGGAAGATTACTATGTTTAATAGTCTACGGTTTTATTATCCTAGAGCAGGGGTGGGGAACCTGTGGCCATGAGGCCAGATGTGGCCCTCTAGGTCCTCAAGTGCAGCCCTTTGACCGAATTCAAACTTCACAGAACAAATCCTCTTAATAAAAAGATTTGTTCTGTAAAACTTGGACTCAGTCAAAAGGCTGCACCCAAGGACCTAAAAGGCCACATGTGACCTCGAGGCCACAGATTCCCTACCCGTGTCCTAGTGCTTTTGGTTATTAAATAAATAGGCTCTAGAATTAAAGATTTCAGCCATCCAGCTCAAGTTCAAATTCTGTTTGTGGTTCTTATTGCTTGAGTTTTCTTGGATGAGTCACTTAGCCTCCTTGGGTCTCGGTTTCTTCATCTATAAAATATTGAGGTTAGACCAGATGGCCTCCAAGGACCCTTCATGATCTGATACTATGTTTCTGGGAGGCAATATGGTAGAATGGATAGACTAGTGAACTCAAAGTCGGAGAAACTTGGGTTGAAGACACTGTGAGACCCTGGGCAAGTCACTTTACCTCTCTCAGCCTGAGTGTCCTTATCTACAAAAGAGATAATTTTTAAAAACTTCTTTGCCAAATTGTTGTGAGAATCAAATGAGATAATTTATGTAAAGTCTTGCAAACCTTAAAGTGTTATATAATCTTTACCTATTAGTAACATTTCTCTGTGATCTTGTGACATGATCTTTTCTTCTTATCTTGGAAGGGCAGTGGGGTACTATGTAAAGAATGTTGAAACTGGATTAAAGAGAGACTTAGGTTTAAATCCTGACTCTAATCCCTCTGAGGTTGAGTTTCTCCATGGGTGAAATTCATTCATTTGTCAACCTCAGTTTACTTGTTTGGAAAACAGGGATGACAGCATCTATTTCATAGGATTTATGATGAGAATCATACAAGATAACATATGAAAAGTACTTTGCAAACCTTGAAACACTCTAGGCTGTAAATGACAGCTGTTTTTATTATTTCTGATCTCCAGTTTTAAAAAGTTATCAGTTCTAAGATCTTATGACTTGCTCCGTAGTCTAAGCTCTAATCAAGTAGCCTCGATTAATGAAATTAACTCTGGACTTGGAACCAGAAAAAAACTGGGGTCCAGTCCTGACTCCACACTCAGTAGCTGTATCTCTTTGGGCTATCCACTTAAACTTTCTGAATCTTAGTTTTCCCATATTTTAAAATGGAAATATAATACTTCTACCACCTCATAGGCTGTTGAAAGGATCAAATGAAATGAAGTACACCAAAGGTTGTTGTCTTTGTCATCATGGTCACTATTGGACATTAAGTAGCTTGCAGTAAAGACTCTGAAGGAAAATCCAGATTAAATAACATTTTTGAAATTTTTACTAAAAACCCATCCTAGAGCATGTCGTTTTCAGTTTCTTTTTCTCCTGCTTTATAGTTATAGTGAATAAATATCTAAAAGTCTCTTTTCTTAAAGAGCAAGATATTTCACCTGTGTCAGTGACTTTTTCTTGCCCTCATAATCTCTGCTGTTTCATTTTTCCTGTTCTGAAGGGAGGAAAATGGAGGATTTCCTATGACTTTTGTGTTGAGTAAACGAGCCAAAACAATCCATAAGAGAGTAATGACTTTTATTAAGGAACAGAATTCCTGAAGTAAGAAATTATAATTACCATTGACCTCTGAAAATGGCAGTGTTACTTTTCACTCTCCCCCTTTAATAAGCTTATTTTGATAGAAACTAAAACCAGAGGAGGTTAGTGAGGCCACATGGATACTTGTCGGCCTAGTATCCCAGTGATACATAAAAACAACTGCTACGGAGTTCTGAAATCTTTTTCTGAAATCCATGAATAGGTAGTTCTGATTGGATATGAGGGTCAATCCCTTAGGGCCTCAAGGGTAGGCCATTGGTTGCACTTTTTTCAAGTCAAAGAGGAACAGGATGTCAAGATTTTGAAAAAAAAGTTATTATTCTTAGAAAGGAGAAATTTATTGCAAAGGATAGGCCCAGAAGGGAAAATAAACGGAAAGGTAAAAAAATGCCCATCTGCGTTTAAAACTAAGGCATGACAAAGAAACTGTTAATAGGGTCAGCTAAGGGATCTAACAGAAGTAAAATTGAATTTGGGGAAAAGAAACTATATATTTTATTCATCCATTAAAGTTCACAGAGATCACTTTGGTTTCTCAAAACACAAGGTCTGACAGGTCCTAAGAAGCTGCAAGGCTACGAGTGGGCATCTATCACCTGGAGGGCCAACCTATGTTAGTTTTGAGATGCCCAAGGTGAGAAAGGTGGCTCCTAGGCAGGAAGTTCATTTGACCAAAGAAGCTGCTAAGTAATCTACTAAGACATGGAGAATACCATGGACTACACTGGTGAAGGGAGTAAACACACTAATGAAATAATGATAAGTTGGAATTTTTTAAGTACTTGTGAAAGGCTTTCTGGAATCCTAATGAATTTATGTTTTCACTTTCCAAAACAAATTGGTTGGCAAAGGAAGCTGATATTAGGATTAATTAACAACTATTAATTATAGATTATTTAACTTATTTCATTGCATTGGAGAGCTATTTATTTATTGCAATAAACCTCATTTGATTAGTTGACAAAGACCTAGAGTCTCTGTATCCAAAGAGACAAATTGCATTTTTTTTTAATGCCGTGATTGAACCGGATTCATCTGCTATCTAGACTGGTTTTTGAGATCTGGAAACTAAGATAGCTCTTTGAAGCCATGTAAGAGGAGCTTGAATCTATAATGGTACCTAGTCTTTAATCAACTGCATGCTCCTAACAACTGTATGAGCTGAGCTATAGTTTAATTGGAATCTTGATTATTGGCCTCATTTCTGATCCATCAAAGAGATCATAGGTAAGAGTAAGACTTTCCAAGTGTATTAAATGATGTACCCAACCCTTTAAGCCTAACTAGTGCTACTAGATTAAATGCAATGAATATACCCACATGATGGATTGCTTTGATCTTGATGACCATGGCAGTTTAAATTAGTTACAATCCAGCTTTTAAATACAATTCCACAATTTAGTCATTTTCCTGATAGGTACAAATGAAAAGAGCAAAAAAGCAGCAGCATCAGGCTTGGCTTATTGATCTAGCCTGATTTTCCACATTAATTCCATCTGAGTGAGGAGACTGAGTGTTCTCATGCTTTCTCATAGATTCTAGTGCAAACAACCCCTTTCATCTTGCATTCCTAGAAGAAAGGAGATAGAGTAAGTCTCCAAAATCCAGACCAAATCACAGACTGTTAATAGTCAAATATAGGTATTTTTAAAACCTAGGTTCGAATTTAAATGTCAATAAAGGGTCATTATGTCTGAAATCAGTCATTTAGACTTTTAAACTATTTGAATGAGTTGAAATTTACCTTTGATTCATTTATTCAATCAATAAATATTCATTGAGCCCCTACTTTGTGTAAAATACTATGTTTGATGCCCTGGGTCATACAAATATGAAAAAAAATCCTTGCAGGGAGTTTAAAGTCTAATAGGAAAAATAAAACAACAAAATTATCAACAAGAGACAGTAGAATGTGGTAATTGCCATAAAAGAGGTGTGAAAAATGCTGAAGGAGTTCAGAAGCAGCAGGATAAAGTAATAAAATGCTGGATTTGAAGTCAAAGCATCTGCGTTTAAATCCAAGCTCCATTACTTACTTTATATGGCCTTAGGCAGGTCACTGAGCCTCTCTAGACCTCATTTCCCTTGCTTGTTTAAAAAAAAAAAAAAACGGAAGGCTGGGCTAGTTGACCTCTAAGATCCATTTGAGTCTTAGGTCTATTATCCTATGAATACTATATCATATTTGGTAAAGGTAAGGCACTAGCAAAAGGTTTCATGACATGGGTAGCAACTGGGCTGAGTCTTGAAAGCTAGGTGGAGTTTTAGCGGATTAATATAATGAGAAGAGTATTCTAGTGGGAAAGAAGGAGGACATGGGGCCAGATGGTGGAAGGCCTTAAATGATGGGCTAAAGAAAGAATGTGAGGTTTGTTTGGCAGGCAGTTGGGAGATGCTAGATGACCTAAAACAGTGGATTGACCTGATCAAAGATGTGGTTTAGAAAAATTAGTGCGTCAGCAATGAGACCCAGAGAGGACAGGACCTGCCCAAGATGAAGCATTAATCTATCAGTTTAGGAGAATCCACATTGGCATGCTGACAAATCCAGGGTAGGAGAAGAGGTGGTCAAAGGAGAGAGAGAAAGCATAGAGAGAAAAAAGGAGCCGGAAGAGGCCAAAAACACGGGGAATGTCTATATTTACAAATCGGGAAACAGAAGAAACATTTAAAAGGAGACATAAAATGAGTGATTAGAAAAGTGGGAAGAGTCATGTAATATGGTGGGAGGTCAAGGGAGAAGAGATTATCATAAAGGAGAGGGTGGTCCCCCTTGTCAAATGCTATGCAATGGTCAAGCAGTGCTGAGAATAGGCCTTTGCCGTTTAGGGAGTAGAAAACTGTTGAAAAGTGTTTACTAAGCAAACAAATATTGTAAACAAGTTTTAATACTACCTAAAGAACAAAAAGGACACATTAACATTTGATATCTAAGATAATCTCTAATCATAAAAATCATGAAATCTTCTAGTTAGATGGGACTTTATGAACTACCTAGGCTGGTCCGTTTCATTATTCTTATCTGGTCATTAAAACAGGTCTCCAGTGACCTCAACTGGCCAGCACTTTATTAGCCTCTGTAATAGAATACAAAATGTCTTGAAAGTGAAAGAAGCTATATTTATTTTTGAATATTCTACAACTGAGACCTTTTATTAATTCAGCATCACCTTCCTCTCAGTGGGCCCAAATTAGTGAGGCTTATCTGGGCTCACCTTATTTTGTAATAGGTCAGAGAACCTCAAATTTGGAAGGAAACTTGAGGCTACCTAGTCCAAAGCTTCTTTACTCTATTTCTTGTTCTTAAAGATTTACTGGGACAGCCCTCCAAGAGGATGATCTTAATGGTTTAACTATTTTAGCTCTGGCCCTGTTTATATGAGCTGTGATTTTGTTAAACAACTCTGTCTTGATATTTGACTTTGTCCTCACCCATTTGTACTAGGTCTTTCCCGAAGGAGAAAATGAATTTTGATAAATAAATGAGTAAAGGAACAACAACACAGCATCATAAAGAGAGAGCTCATTTTGGAGTCAGGAAAATCAGTTCAAATTCTGCCTTTGACACGAGCTCTGGGCAGGTCACCTGACCTCTCTAAGCGCCAGGCAATTTTCTAAGATTGAATGGTTTAGTTGGGCAATGATCTGGGATAGTGAAGAGAAATCCCACTCCAATAAAATCCCAGGTCCTTGATGTCATATGGCTACAATTCATCATTGTCAATTTTATCTTTTCAGTATTCAGGAATAAGAAAAGACTCTTACCACCACCATTTTTCCATCCACCAACTTTCTCTTTATTGTTGTCTCTTTGCCATCCCATTTCTGGACTTGATTCAGTGCTCCTCTGTCTAAGGTTATAGTGGTCTACAAAGACACAATCACATAATTGGTTTGCTTGGAATTGAGTTGAACAAAGAGACAATTTATCCTATACTGAGTCACTGCCACAGGGTGAGTCACCCAAGACATATTGTTTTTAAGCAAAATGAAGACTTCCCTTTGAAGTAATTAGTATGGACAACAGGAAGGAGAGAAGACCTTGCCATCTCTCCTCCAGTAGATAAGGGACACCAGTAGAAAAAAGTTAATCTCTCACCTTTGTTTTCCTGTTATCAGCTGTGGTTTCTTCAAATTCCTGGCCCAGCTTAAAAGAGATTTCTGTATTTTTAAAGGTACTCTCAGTCCGGATGGTTATAATATCACCCTTCATGCTGATGATCACACTGGGCTTGGCCAAATTTCCCAATTTTCTGGTGGCTAAACCCACCCCTGAAAATCAGACAGGTTAGAATTATACTGTCAGAAAGAATACTTGCTCTTTCAAAAGAGAAGGCTTGTAATCACATTCTTCTGTTTTGTTCTGTTTTTTTGTTTTTTTTTTTTTTTTGTGAATGTTTCTATGGTGCTACAGGGGTAGATTGGGCATAAATCATAACGTCACCAAGGAAGAAATCTTCCTGTCAGTGTTTCATCTCCTAAAGAGAAATAATTTGTGTGGATTTTTTTTCCTATCCCTTCAATAAAATCCAATTTTCAGGAATGAACTGAGGTTCCAGAAACCTAGCATATGAAGGGAAGACCGGTTGGCTTCAAAACCCTTACGGATAAAAATGAATACAATTCAGTAGAATAAATAAGGAGCATTCTAAGTTTTAAAAAATTCTAGGCTGTGTTCACATCAATTACTGTTCTTCACTGCACTGAGACAGCTTTATACTTTCTGTGGGAATTAAAAGCACCCTAAGAGAAAAAAAATGTGAGTGATAAATAGGTCCAGGTAAAGAAACCAATGTTAAACCCTATTGCTTGGATTATGTCATTAATTATTTCATTTATTCTACAACCATTTATTATTTACTATGTACAAAGCACTGTCTCTAATAAAAAATATAGAAATCAGAAGCATTGAAGCACATGGAGATAGATAAAGCTACCCAAATTCAAAAGAAAATCACATGGAAGAGAAGTGGATAGAGCGCTAGGTTTAAAATCAAACAGACATGAGTTCAAATCCAGCCTCCAATACTTAATAGCTATGTGAACATGAGGCTCTCTGAGCCTGAGTTCTTTTGTGTTTAAAATGAGGATAATAATACATATATCACCAACTTCACATGATTATTACAGAGATCAAATGAGATAATGTATATAAGTTCTTTGCAAACCTTAAAGAACTATATACATATAACTTATTGTTATTATTACTGATAATCATTAATATGTCTCATGATATCTAGGGTTATATGAAAGGACAATCAAGAAACTAAAAAATTTTCATACCTACAGCACACCTGGTATAGATTTTTACTGTAACACTGTTTGGAACACTATATGAAACTTATTACTCATTACTAAGTCATAAAATTCTAAGATTGCAAAGTGATCTTGATTAACAGCAAAGGTGGGAACAATCAGAATGAAGTTCAAAAGAGGCAGTGGCAAGAATTATTTGGCTGGAGGAAGAGAAGGCTTAGTATAAGTTAAGGACCCCGAACTGGAAGAGCTTTGAGACATCAACTTCTCTAACCCTCTCATTTCATTGATGATGAAATTGAGACTCAGAGTCACTCAATAACCAGACCAGATCACACAACTAAATCATAGAAGTTATTAGAATTGATGAGTTTTTTCAAAAGAGAGACTATAATGAGAGAATAGAAGACTAAGGCCTGAATTTGGGAAGAATCATACAGTTAAAGGATAAGAAGAGGAATAAGAATGAGAGAAGATACAGTCAGGAAGGTCAGAGAACCAGAGTTAGAACCTTTTTTCCTGACTATTTCTTATACCTCTTCAAGTATCCCTTGCTTTCTGGAAGGAAGGAAGAAAAGAAGGAAGGAAGGAAGGAAAAGAAAGGGGAAAAAAAAGCATTAATTGCATACTTCCTTCATGCCAAACATCTCGCTAAGCCCTGGTGATTAAAAAAGATAAAAGCAAAGGCAGACCCTGTAGACAGCACATAATGGAGTCAGGGCCAGAAAGGGGGCACTTTGGTCCTTTAGAAAGTTACAGGGATAGTCAGTGGGGACATAGTAGAGCTGTGTCTTAGAAAAGTTGACTGTAAGACTTTTAGTTAAGTAAATCTTGTTTTCTCATTGATTTCTATTATAAAATTGAAGATGCACAGCCACAGAAAAGGTGATGAGTAAGTGGTTTAGAGGTGGCCTATGCTGTGCCAACAAGGCCATTTTCAAATCTTAGCTACACTATACCAGCTGGAGTTAATAGCTGACCTCTACATGATAACATTTTTAAGCACTATGAGACTTCTACGGCTGCTATTCATGACCTTGCCATCAGTGCTCATAATCTCTACCTGTATCATCATTTTTCCCCAGACCAATACTTTAGGTGCCCTCAAGACTTTTATGATAAAGCAGGTAAAGCAAAAATTTTCTCTCAGTATTTGTAAAGTTATAATGAAATGAACAGTGACCAATTGGTTTCCATCTCTAGTATGACTGAAATGAAGCAGATAGACTAAATGATCTTTAAGGTCCCTTTCAGCTGTAAATTTATGATCCTATGAAGTAATCGGGTTTGAGGTTAGAAGTAAACAAACAAACAAACAAAAAACCCTCCTACATGAAATATGTTAGCCACTGCACAATGGATAAAAAACCTGATCTTTACTTATTATTTTATCCCAAGTGAGAAATCTATACATAAGCTTACAGGATAGATAGTCTGCCATTGATTTTGTTTTAACATCCACCCTTAAGTGGAAGGTAGACATTAGAGTGAATGAAGACAGATTCACTGTTCCTCTAGAATTCTCTACTCCTATACCCTCATCTCCATTCTTACTTCCTCTTACCTCTTTCTTCTCCCACTCTGGAATTAGCTAACCAAAGGAAGCCTCAATTTGCTCAGACAATGATGTGAAACTCAGTGGAGGGGACAAAGAAAAGTAGTCTCTGCTAGAGATTGGTAGTAATCAAGAAGAATTCTCCTATGCGAACAGTTTCATTACTGAATAAGAGGGAATTGACAAACAAAATCAATCTAACTCAGAGAGTGAACATACTATGCCTAGATAAACACCAGACTCTTCAATGTGGGACCATTCTATATTCTGTTTCCATTCTTTCTCTTCTGGAATATGTTGGCCCCTAGAAATCCAAGTGACAAATGAGAATAGAAGATGAATAAATTGATGACACTTCTCTAAAAATCTCCCCTTCATTTTAAGAATTTTGAAATTAAAAAAAAAACAAAGAACCAGATCAGGAAACCACTATACTATGATTTATGCTTTCCACTTCAATTGCCACCACCCTAACCCCCCCACATACACACATATTTCTAACTTCTCCCAGAGAATGAGGGAGTGAGTGATTTTACTTTCTCAAGAAGGAGCTCCTCAAGCAGAAGTTTTTTACAAAATTATTCCTCACCTAGAGCTTTCATGTAATCCTCAAAGTTTTCACTGGAGACCAGTTTCCAGGTGCCCACAAATCTGTTACACATGATGCTGGATCTGCTGGGCACTAAATGGTGACCTTAGCAAAAGAAAGTCAGTCACAGCTCTCAGTGAGAGGCAGGATGGCGTGAACTGCCCCAGCTTCAATGGCATCTTTTCAAAGATGCTCTGGACATGTGACTACTACCAGCATCCAATGGGGAAAGGCAGTGTCAGGGCCAGGCGATGAAAGGCCTCCATTTCATAACATTGCTCATTCATTCATTTGGCACAACAGAGAATCCCACCCACAATCTCATTTTTCTCCAGAAAAGGGTTTGCACTTTTTTTTAAATAAAAAAAAAGCCACCTAAGTCCTTAAAAAGAAAAGGAAATGAAAAGAAAAAAGAGAAACTTGGTTGGGAACACATTTAAATTCTATTATCTAACCCTTAATAGTTTAGAAAAACAGTACTATTCCACAAGTCCAGTTCAAGACCAGGGCATGCAATTATTTGTGAGGGAGAGGATAAGTGAAAATCTCTTTGGAGGCATCCTGGGGACACCAGATCCCGACTCCCCACATTCAAGAATTTGATACAAAAGAAGAAGAAGGAGAAAGCCAAGTCCCTTTACATTATGATACTCCACCCCTCACCAAAATATGCTGTGGTAGAGAAAGGTTAGGAAGTACTATAAGGATTATTCATTAGTGAAGAAGGGAGTTGTTGACATAGCTCACATTTTCTAGGCAGGCAGAGTGGGCAGACAATGGGGGCAGTAAGTATAGTATACCAGCTATGTTCCCATATAGGACAAAGAAACAGGCCTAAGACAGGGTCTAGCTCCCACAAAGATTTTCATCTCAGGGAAATAAGTATCCCTCATTTGTGCATTTGATCACATACCTTGCAGCTTCCTACAGTACTTTGCTTCCTCATTTATATTCTCCACAGACTATTAAATAAGGAGTGAAGGGGAAAATGGGTGAAGCTGCTGCTAAATTTTGAGGTGGATGAAGGGGATTGTGGGGGCTCACATTGGATGGCTTCAATTTCAAATAGGAATCTGGGTTATTGGCCATGAATATGAGGTGGGGGTGGGTCAAGGGTTTGAGGATGAGTAAGTTTTCCATAAGTGGGGATGGTAATAATAATGACTAGTATTTTTATAACACTTTAAGGTTTTCAAGAGAGTGTGAACATCAGGTAAAATAAAAGTGCAAGGATAAGAGACTATGCAGGTTCCCCACCACTGTATAAGGTATACTTGCTGAAAATAAGTTCAAAGCTTAGAAATAGTATGCTATAATGGAAAGAGCCCTGAACTTGGAAGTCAAGAGACCTAAGTACCAATCCCATAAACTTCCTGGGCTATAGTTTTCTCATCTTCAAAATGATCACATTCTTCTTAATGAATTCCAAGCGTTTCATGAACACTTCCCTGACTATACCATTCAGAAGCCTTTGACCTCCTTTCTCAGTCCATAGCACTCAAATACTAGTAACATTTCCTGCCTCACCTTGGACTGAGAATCACTGTTGGCCAGGGCTGGAGAGTACTTTTGAGATCATTTACAGATGAGCCAACAGAAACCTGGAGACTTGCCCATAGTCACACAGCTATTGAGTACAGGAGGAAGAAGGGGCTAGGAAGCACCTGTTCCCACACTATTTCCTGGGTTGCCTGGAACTAAATGGGCCAAGCAGTAGTTCCCTCCCACGAAGGCAACTGGGGAACAGACTCTCTTTCTCTTGTGGGATTCAAGCCCAGTTCTTCTGACTTCATGCTCACTGCTCTCTCTCCTGGTACACCATTCTGTCACTAAACTTTAGGTATTAGCATGTTGGATTCATTCATATTTTACACAACCTCAATCTCCTTTTGGTGAAGTAGTTACTTTTACCTACATTAGGGTACTAAAAAAAAACAAACCCAACCCACAAAAGGATTTTTTTTACTGTTCTCCCATTTCGACTCACAATTTCAACAAAAGTTTCCTCCCATGTAGCTGTTAAGCTGTGGGATTTCATTCTGGAAAAGAGTCCAATGTTCTATTATCTAGTTTATGGTTATTGGTAACATGCCATCTCTCCTACTGTATTATAATGCTCTTGAGAACAAAAACTTCCTCTCCTACACAACTACTTGAGTGGGGGGAGAGGAGGGAGAGAGAAAGTGAGCTCCTTGTTTCTGGAGATCTCCAGGTGAACGATAACTAGGATAAGAGGGTTTAGACCTGAAGGGGCCATCCCATTCGACTCCTCATTTTACTACTTGTCAGGAATTTTGTGGACAGGATTCATGATTAGGGTATGGATGGGATTAGCTGACCTCAGAGGCCTCTTCCAACTCTAAGGTTCTATGAATACTTCTTTGTATCACCTCATAGGACACAGGATAGTGCTTTGAAAACATGGCAGTAGGCAGTCAATTCCGTAATTGTTGAATGAATGAAACAATAAGCCAAAGACTGAAATAAACAGCTAATCCTTTATAGTAACTCAAAAAAAGTTGCTGACTCTCAGTAAAGGCTTCTGCAGAGGTTGGCAATGATTGGGCCATAGACCCATAGAGGCTCCCCCAATGTAACACATAAACTAGTTAGGCTAAACACCTAGAAATCACATTTGTCCCAGAAAGCAGTACATTTCTCTGAGATGTAGAATACTAACTAAAATTTACAATTAAGAATCTTAGCCATTAAAAAAGACCTTTTAATTGAAATTGTGTTGTTGGAATTGTGTTGGCTTCTTGAAAGTGTTTAAAATTTAAAGCTGTTCTAACCATTCATGGATGTTAGATGGAAAGAAAAAGAAAATAAAGAGAATTTCAAAAATTTATCTTTCTGTACCAAGGAGTAAAAAGCACTCTTCTTATTTCAGTATGGAATAATAGAGAGAGCAAGTCCTGGGAGAATAACTTGGATTCAAGTCCTAACTCAGACATATCTGGCTATGTCACTTAACCTCTCAGTGACTCCATGAAATACAACCTTCTAAGAATGTAAATGGCAGAACAGTTACTGATCTGAATTGATAGAGGGACTTTCCTCAATTTGGAGTTCCCTAAATCAATTAAATCACAGTCCAGACAAAAGAAAAAAAATCTTTACAATCAAGCAGGATCCAAACATTGTGACTGTGCCATGGTCATAACACTTGACTCAGCTGTCAAGATTCCTGACTAAACCTATAATCTCAAGATACTACCTTTTTCTTTAGTCTGAAAGTATCTTTTTTTCTTTAGAGTTCACTCTTTGTGGGCTTGGGCTACTCAGTGAGAAACTGAAGGCATTTTCCCAGTGATTCATAGGAAAATAATGAAGGTACAATGGTCTATGGAAACCAACCTTAATGTTGACTCTAATTTCAAATGGACCATAATAAATTCCAAAATCTCCTTTGAGATGTGACATCATGGGAATTCACCTACCTTAAAAGATCAAGTGATCTGAATCTGACAGTTCTAATAGTTTGATAATCTATAGATTATCTTGGCAAGTGCCAGGAATCTCAAAGTGAGCTTTATAGAGGCCTTGAGGGGTAGAGAGGAAGAAGCACCACATAATCACAAATATTGGTATTTCAAATGTATTCATGACCTCACTCATGCTTCCATCCCAGACATGGGTTCAGACTGCCACTCATCCATACATTCCTGTAAGAGGGAGCCACTATAATGCATTGGTTGGGGCAGGGGGCATCAGACAGTCAGATCTACACATCAGGAAAATGACTTTGGCAACTAGGTAGAGGAAAAAAATGAAATGAGAGGAAGTGGTGGCGCTTGAGGCCAGGGACCAATTAGGAGACTGTTACAATAGTCTCAGTGTGAGGTGATAAAGACTTGAATTAGAACAGTGGCTGTGTGAGAGGAGAGAAATGAAAATATCTAATACATGCTATACAGAAATAAACTTCATGATTTGGTAACTGCTTAGATATGAGGGAGGAAAGAGAGTGAGTAGTTGAGGATAATAGCCAAGGTTGTGAACCTGGGTAATTGAAAAGATGATCATGTTCTTGGCTGTCATAGAGAAGTTTGGAAGAAGGGTAGGTGCTGTTTTGGACCTGTTGAATTTCAGATGCCTGTAAGGGCATCTTTTGAAAATTTCCAATAGGTAACTGGTGATGGAGGACTGGGGCTAGATATAAAGACGTGGGAATCATCTTCATAGAGATAATAATTGAAATCATGTGAGCTGATGCAGTCCCCAACTGAGAGAAAAAATAAGCAGTCCTAGGACAATCCTTGGGGGACATCCACAATTAAGAGCATAATATAGTTGAAGAGTCAGGAAAGGAGATTGAAAAAGGCAATTGTTGAATTTTCAGTGTAAGTATTTATTTACACCTTGGAAATTGACAAATGCTACAAATCAGAGCTTGATTTATTGTTTTGTTGATTATGACTTAAAAAATATTAGTGAAAATGTTAATAATGCAGATAAAACTTAAAAGTGTGTGGTACATACATGTTGGCATTTAAAGCCTAATGTTAAACATTCATCAGAACAATGTGATTTTTATGACATATTTTGCACGTATATCAATATTAGTGAATATACTGGAGCCTACTTACACCCACCACATATTTTCACATCGCCTTGTGTGTAGCTTGCATTTTGATTCATTTGAGATTGTGGTGTTTATTATTCACAGCTATATAGTAAAAGCTAAAGAATATTGGCATTAAAAATGTGTCTTGGCAACAGGAATTAGCTTGGCATCATTGCTAGTGCTCCACTAATGCACTGTTGGTAGAACTGTGAATTTGTCCAGCCATTCTGGAAAGCAGAATTATGTACAAAGGGATTATGCACAAAAAGTCATTTAACTGTTGCTTACCCTAGTAGGGTACATATCAGTAGGCCTGTACCCCTAAAGAGATAAAAGAAAGAAGGAAAGGACTAATGTATACATAAATAATTATAGCAGCATTTTTTTGCAATGGCAGAGAGGAAACTTAGAGGGGTGTCCATCAGTTGGGGAACAGACAAGCAAGTTGTGGCATATGAATGTGATGGAACACTATTGTGTTAAAAGAAATAATGAAGGAGTCACCTTCAGAAAAAGCTGAAAAGATTTGAATGAACTGAAGCAGAGTGAAGTGAACAGAACCAGGGGGAAATTTTCTACAATGATAACTCTATTGCAAAAGCAAACAACTTTGAAAGATTTAGGAGCTCTGATTAACACAATATCCAACCAAGGTTCCAAAGGCCTCATGAACTCATGATGAAACATGCTACCCACTTCCTGTCACAAAGGTGATAGACTTAGGGTGCAGAATGGGACACATATTTTTTGGGATATAACCAATGTGGGAATTTTTTTTATTTGACTATGCATATTTGCTATAAGCTCCTCTCCCCCACCCCTGCCATAGGAGAATGTGGGAGAGAAAATTGTTTTCTTGTTAAATTTAAAAAAAAAATTTTAAGGTCTGCACAGCTCTCTGATTGTGAACTGCCTCATTCTCCTATCCAGTTCTGGACCCTTTTCTGTCTAATTTATATGTACTAATGTGTTAATTCAATATATTGCCATCAAACTAAGTGTGATAATTGAGGTAACATGCAGCCTTCATCTAACTGGCCTTTCTCATATAGTTGCTATGCCAAGGATATCATTATTACATGATAGGTCATTCTCATAGAGATATCATAGAAATGAGAGGATAGCCATTGCATTGTTCATTACTAATGTCATCTCAGTCATCTTTTGTTTGGAATTAAGACCATATGTGATATTTTTTATTCTTTTAGAAATTTCCTTTCTCTGATTTAGGAACAAAATTGATTCCCAATTTCTTTAAAACTGATACCTCCCACATGGATTATATGTACGTGTATATATATATATACACACATATGTATATACAGAGAGAGACAGAGAGAGCGAGAGTCAGTCTGGCCATCCTTCCCACTATAATTTTCTGACTACTGTAGAGTCCAAATGTGGTGGTTTTAATCTCACTGATGATGAAAAGTAATAGCTAGATACTAGATTAGCTATTCTATTGCCTATCTATCCTCCCTTTAATTTCTTCAATAAACGCTTTGGGATAATTGACTCAGTTAGATTTCATGTCAAGATTTCTACAAGCTCATTTCCTTCTTACTGCTTTTTGCTCTTTTGTGAAGCAACACTGCTTATAGTTTTTTGTCATTATTTCTATGATATTTTATAAGTAGACTTCTACACTAAACTAGTATTGCCTTTGGATCTTATGTCTCTGCTTGACAATAGCAGCTATTCATTGGCTGAAGCAAATTCTAGGTTCTGGGCCTCTATGATAGCATTTGTTTTATGTTGGTTAAACACCTCAAAAATGTCAATAATCAGAGTCAATGTTATTACTTTTATTCAGTTCCTATTTTCTGTAATTAATCATTTATTTTAAAAGGTTGGGTTGATATTATAGTTGAATGCAACACTTTTCCCCTCATAATTACCCTTTATTATAATTTGGTACAATCATGACCTTTTCTCTAACAAGTCAGTAGTCTAACTTCACACAAATAACTGATTCTGAAATGAACCCCATGCTGGTAGCCAATCTTTCACTTTTTTCCAAGACATAGTTAGTCTAAATTTTTTTTGTGTGATCATATTCATTGATCACCATATCCAGTACCTTCTGACTCTCTTTTTAAAGAAAGCATTCATGATATATAGGTACAAAGTTTCTGAGTAGGTTATTAGTATACAGCCTCTTTCACTTCTGTCAGGAATGTTATCACTGCTTTTAGACCTCCTACAAAACTCCTCATATTCTGGGTGTGAGATAGCTGTTCAATGATTAAAGGAGATAAAACTCATCAATAATGATGTTTCTACTCTAAATGAAATCAGAAGACATAAAATAGTTGCAGCTAAATGGAAGAATGCCTCTCAGGTTCCCTTTGAATAAAGGTATTGTGAAACCAGTTTTCCCATTTGCCTAAAGGGAAAAAAAACTATTTCATGAGATCCTTGATTATATCACCTTGGTGTGCTCACGATGAACATAGGCAAGGGGACCTCTATGAATATAAGTGCAGCTTTTATGCCAGCACCTGTTGTAGAGGATGAATAAGCATAGCTATAACTTGACAAAATCAAAGAATCACAGCCATTCAGCCCATCTCATATCATACACATCCATAATCTAAAAGTGGTCCTCTAGTTTCTGTTTGAAGACCTCCAATGAATTTCATATAAATCTTTCCAGATTTCTCTCAAACCATTCTCTTCATTATTTCTTACAGCACAATGATATTCCATTATATTCCTATAGCACATTTTGTTCAGCCATTCCACAATGAAAGGAGACGTCCTTAGTTTCCAGTACTTTGTCTCTACAAAAATAACTTCCATGATTTTTTTAAAATTATAGGTCCTTTTCCATTTTTTGAGCTCTTTGGAGCATAGACTGGTTGTGGTTACAATTTAGTAACTTTTGGAGTATAGTTCCAAATTGCTTTCTAGAACTAGAACAATTTAGACTATAACAACAACATTGCAAAACTAAGTAACTTTGAAAGTCTTAAGAATAGATGAATGCAATGACCAGCCATTATTCCAGAGGATCATTGATGAAGCCTGAGCTTCACCTCCGAACAGAGAGGTGATGAACAAATACATAGAATGAGACACATATATTTGGACATAGCCAAAGGGAATTTGTTTTGCTTGACCACACAAATTTGTTACAAAGGTTTTTTTTTTCTCAGCATGCAGGGAGATTGGGGGGTAGTGGAAGTACTTGCTAAGAAAAAAAATTAATTTAATGAAAAAAAAAGACCTCTGAACTTAGCATCAATCAAAGTGGCCCATTCTACTTCCAAACAGCTCTAGTTTTTAGGAAATTTTTTCCCTGATATCAAGCCTAAATTTGCTTCTTTGCTGCCCATTACTTCTGGTTCCATCCTCTGGGATCAAACATCACATCTGATCTTGCATTCACATGACAGCCTTTCGAATACTTGAAAATAACTCTCGTGTTCCCTCTTAGTCTTCTCCAGGACAACTCTCTCCAGTTCCTTCACCCAATCTTCAAATGATTCAAATCCCTTCAATGTCCTGGCTATCCTCCTCTGGATACTCTCCAGTTTATCATTATCCTTCTTAAACTATGGTGCCCAGAACTGAACACAAAACTCCAGGTGATGTGTGACTGCTATAGAATACAGAGGAGCTATCATTTCCTTATTCCTGGAAGTTATGCCTCTCAACACAGCCTAAGATCAAACTGTATTTGTGGTAGGGAGAAATAGGAGCTGCCACATCATACTATTTACTCATGTTGAGTTTGCAATCCATTAAAACTCTCAGATCTTTTTCCCAGAATAAATGCTAACTATGCCTCTGCCATCTTGTATTTCAAAGTTGAATTTTTGTACCCAAGTATTAGACTTTACATTTATCCTCACTGAATTTAATCTTAAATTCAAATAAATACTCATCTGTCAAGATTTTTTTGAATCTTGATTCTACAATCCATTGTGTTATCTCTCCATTTAATGTCATAAATAAATTTGATGAGCATTCCATGTGTCTTTTCCAAATCATTGATAAAAATATTAAATAACACAGGGTCAAGTACAGATCCCTGTGTTACCCTACAGGTAATCTATCTTGACCTATTAATGATTACTCTTGAAATCTTCTAAACCAAATGAACTTGTATCTAAATAGTTTTCTAACTTTAAAGTAATGGCAAGCACAGAGAACAATGGCCAAAAATATATTGGAAAAGATAGTTCAAGAGCATAAACATAATTTCTATAAAAATTGATCTTATATACCATCATAATGCTTGTGCTGTGTATGATGTTCCATTCAAAAGAGGCAGGGCCAATGATATTATAGAAAAGAAAAAGAGAATGACTAAAAACCACATATTATTGTAATGAATTATTGTTCTGTCCCCAGTACTGGCTCCTCTGAGATTCCTTGAGGTTATTATCATCTTCCATTTCTGTTATCTGCAGCAATCAAATCAATAGTGCCAAGGTGTCAAAAGACATCACTAATTTTCACTAATGGTTAATGTCATGAAAGCTATCATGTAGAAAAAGCTCAGTAAATTGCTTATTGGATTAATGATCACTATTATGACCAAGAGATTAATTTTCCTCTAGAACTTACCTGTCCCTGCACATTTCTTCTTGCCTACCTACCATGCTTCTTGTTGGAAGGATAATAGTGTAGATAGATATACATATGTTATATTTCAAGATAGGTGAAAGGTATATGTTGAGGGTGAGTGAGGCAGGGATGGAAGGAAGAAAATGAAATCAACTTATCTTCTCAGATCTTTAAATGAATGTACTGAGAGAAGATGTAAGGATAGAAATAGAAGACAGACTACAATTTTTAAAAATGGAAAAGATCTGCAAGGATTTTTCCTTCAAGTTTTTTATCATTATGGCAGCAACAAAACTTGAACTCTTCCATCACAGTCCAATAGTGTTGACAATAGTACATATGGCACAAAAGAGCACTTGTTTTAGACCATGTAGTCATAGAGGAGATTCATGCTAAAGATAAAGCACTTGTGAGGACATTGGGGGATTGATTCACAAAGTATCTGTAGAAGAGAAAATGCCCAGTTGAGTTTGGAGTGCATTACAGGCATGAGTGACAACTAATACAAAAGTAGAAAGAAGGGACATGAAATTTTTCATGTATGAGGAACGGAGATAAAGCCAGTCTGCCTTGATATTAGAGTATAGGAAGAGAGGAAATGGATAAAAAGGTGGGAAAGGTATATTGAAACTAGGTTGTGCAAAGCTTTAAAAACTCAAATAAATGAATTAATATTTTATCCTGAAGGCAATAGGAACTTGTTAGAGTTTTATGAGTAGGAGAGTGATATTGTCAGGCTTGTACTTTAGGGGAAATCCTTTTGACAGTTGTGTGGAGAATGGGTTAAACTGAGGAGAGAATTTAGGTAGCTAGACAAATTAGGAGACTACTGCAGCAGGCCAGGTGAGAGGTGATGAAGGTGGTGACTGTGTGAGTACAGAGAAGGAGGCCTATATATCACAGAGCCTCTTGAAAAGAGTTATAACTCATCAAAAGAGTTTAACCTAATCATC